ATGATGGACGTGTCCAGCGCACGGGACCATCGGATTTGTTGATGACACCTTTGGTTAGGAAAGTGAGGGCAGTAGACATTGCTTCTGATTAGATAAAAGAAGGTTTGTTTAGAAAGGACCTGAGCTAGCTGTTACGTCAGGCCGAGTGTCGCCCGACGTAACACAGAGTATGTGTTATAATATTTGGTAGACGAAACAAATTTTTGTTTAGCTTCCTTTCCCGTAGTGACGATCGTGAAAATGTAAAAATGCATAAAAATCCGCTGTCTGCTCATTGTAATATTTAGTGGGTCTTCGCAGTCTGGTGTGTACGTAATTGTAATCTGCTTTCCTCATCAGTGAACGAAGCGTACGTACGCTGTTGCCTTTGTGTAATAACGCATTTTACGCTACTTGCATTTCAAACTCTCCCTTTGTCCACTCTATTAAAAAAAAGAAAAATGAACCATTATTTTATCAGTCTCATCAATAACGATATTAATATGTATAATTCAACTCTCTGTTAACGATTAGTAAGCAGAAATCATGCTTCTTTGTACTCGTTGTCCTCTAAACTTTCTTCTCATCCACTCTAGTGAAAAAAGGACAGATCAATCAATACTTCATCAATTTCATCAATGACACTAATGTATATTCAACCATCTGTTAATGTCTACTAACCAGAAATCATGTTTTTTTTTTCTATACTATCGCTTCAACGTTCAGCCAAAGTGAATGCATCTTTCTTTGCAGTGAGAACACGCTGCATCTAAAAGGTTAACAGTTGCGTGGCCGATTGAAGCCCTATAGCGTTCCGCGCCCTTATCCACCATTCTTCCGGCGTCTCCGACAATGCGGCAGCTATCGACCGCGGACGTTGGACTTTAAAGTCGAGGAACACGTCAGCAATATCCTGTTCGGTAGCCTCCTTGAACCGAGATTGTCGCGCGCTGCTGCCGGGGATATAACCGACTCTATAAGGGACGTTCGTCTCCTGCGAACAAAATATCCAGTCTGCTTTCAAGGGATCGGGTTCCTGTCCGTTTTTCTTTGCTCTGCCGTGATTCTTAAACACTAGACATGGTTAGACAAGCGTTGACACTTTGACTGCCACGCCGAAATCACGTGTTTCGCTCAGGACACCACGGGAGTATTTTTATTATTCGAAGCATGTAATGGCAAAATAATAATAAATCGACGATGTAAGACAATATTCTTCCCCGATGGACCGTTCATCTTATTGGTGGTCACGGGTTAGCGACGTATTATAACAAGGCTTCGTTCATTTCAACAAACCATTCGCTTTCGTTGTTTCGTCGTAAGCAAATCGCCCAGAATATATCGTTGAAACGTGTAGAAGATATTAGTAAACAATATTTGCTCATTCTGTATATAATAGTAAGGTACGTGCACACTTCTAACTTCAATTATACGATTATAAAGCAGCATTTACGATTATTTTCTAAGCTACGTTTATAATAATATTCGTAGATTACGCCTCAGAGATATGGATGCAAACACAGTTCTCATTTTGTTTTATTGATGTTCTAGTAAAAATGTTCAATTGTTCAATGGGGCACTTTTTGTTTCAAAGTATCTTCTATTTATCGGTTGTATTCAAAATGCCCAAACTGTCAATTTTCATACAATTTTTGCAATTATGAAAAGTTACAGACACCGTGGCCGGTCATATATGACCAACGTGGCGGTTAAAGTGTTAATATCATTGATAAGATTGGCAAAATAGCAGTTGACCTTTTTTCAGTACACTGGACAAGAGGAAAGTTCAAGAGGCATAACAAGATAGGATTTCTGGTAAATGAACGTTGATAAACAGAACACGCGCTAATATTTCGTTGATAAGACAGGTAGAACGTTAATTACTGACTTCTTTTTCGTAGAATGGACGGAAGAAAAGTTTGCAAGTCATTTGTACAGTTTGTATCGGACAACTGTGTCCAGGTGAAACGTCGAAATAGGATGGTTCTTGCCCGCGTCGCGTCCGTGACGTGGACGCGACGAAGAACGCAATCAATGCAGTGATTTCTGTAACAAAGCGTGGATCGCGAGGAGTTTTTTGCATTTGCTAATAATACGTAATTCCGCAACGGAAAGTTTTCCGTATGAAATATCCGCGTCGACGGTAAACTTTCAGTCCGGTTATCCGGCGAACGCAAAGGGTTAATTGCGTAGCGTAGCACACCGACCACGAAGGCATAAAATAAAGTTCATAATTGCATTCTCTTTGGCCAACGTCAGCCAGCACCGCTTCATTTCTTTAATTCGTACAACTTTCGAAACCCCTTTCATCGTCTCTACCGCCGTATGCCCGCGCCGTTTCCCTCTGTGAAACAGAGAAAAATCTCTGCTCGTTAACGACGATCCTCGTTGCATCGTGAAAATACGATGTTCTTTTTTCTTAATTTTTGAACGATGTTGAATTTGTAATAAAACCGCTAGAATTCCATTACACCCGTGTTACTTCCTGTGAAACAGTTTCTGGCGTTAGTTGCAGTTGGCTCTGGGTTGAGAGAAATCTTGTTAACCTATTTTTATCATTTTTCTAATATTTCTTTAGTAACGCGATAACACGACGACGTAGAATATTACGTTGCCATTAGGTTGTCCGGAAAGCGTCTTTCTTTTACGAACGTGAAACCTAATCCGTCAAATATTGCGCCCTTTATCTTAATAGAACAAAATAGTACACGATTCGATAAAACGATGTAAAACAACAAATGTTGTGTATCTACTGTTTCCTTAGAAAACGAAAGAAACTCTCGAGACAACCTAACGCAAATGGATAAAAATTCCGGCTCGGTAGTAAACTGAGCAACCAAAGACAGACGTTCGTTTCATCTGACAAATATTCCGGTCCTTTACGTAATATTTTTACAGATCGCGTTGCTTTCGTCGCGTACATTTTTACTTGCAATGATTTCCCGCAAATGAGATCCGCGGTTCTAAAATGCAGAGCGAGGGAAAGCGTAAAAATCGTGGAACGTCGAAACGCGATTGGAGTCGCATCGAAGCTCGTAAATAAGAATTTTCGCGCGCCGTATACTAAGTTGGAAAATGCCAGCGAAGAGTTGGTACCACCCATGAGACTCAGGCCCTCGTGAATCGTAACACGTGTAACTATACGCCAAGAGGGAAATTCCTGCTGGTGCAATAACGATCCCCGACGAAGGAACCACGTGGAATACTGTAACAGTGTAACACTTGGTTGGGGAGAACCATTGAATAGACCATAACGGTAACCGTTATCGTTACCCACCTAGCCGACCCGATACGCTCAATCAAACGGTACCTGTTCCTCGGCCATGCTGCTTCTTACTTACAACCCCTTATTCGTATCTCCAAATCGTCAGGGTTGTCCTAATTTAACTGAGAAATCGATACGTTGAATATCATCTAGATAGTACGACTCCTGGATATTGAAAATTTCCATCCTATTTAGAGGATTCAAATTTCCATGTTGTTCGTTCATTTGACGTAATTGCGTATGGTTGTAACGCTAGCAGAGTTTATTAATTACCAAGATCATAGACAGAGGTATTAGACGCTCGAAGACCGTACCGATTAATACGACGAATCGAAAGGTAGAAGATTATTTTATAGAATTTATCTTGAAATCCAGGATCGTTCACGTTGGTACTTCGATACGGTAAATGAACTTGCGCAAGCAAGAAATTTATCTTTCCAAGCGTTCGATGCTAATTACATACTTTTTGCCTTTCGGACAGGGAGCGGACGTTAAAAAACATAAGAAGAAGAAGAAATCGTTTTCGCATTCAAGCCAATTGCGGTTTGTCGCAACAGATTGCCTCTATCGAGCTTTCGGATGCCTAGAAGGAATGAAACTACTGACTAAAATGTGCCTACCAAAAAATCCTGCTGCCAAAGATCGTAGGACGATTGTTGCCAATATCCGACTAATAGACGTGCGATTAAAATCTGAGAAGGAAGAGGACAAGAAAGTTTAACCAGTCGTGCGTTCAACCGAATTCCAATTTCTGCGAAAAAGCTTCGCCATTGCCGGCGAACGTAGCGGTTTAACGATACAGGATATACTTTTTCTCGGAACGTTTCAGCGTAATCGAAGAAACCGATGCCAGAGGCGATCAATGCGAACTGCTCGCACCCGTACATATGCATCCCACCTCCCCCGTGTATATCCGTAGAATGGTGCCGCCAGGTTTCCGAGGTTTCCATAACGAGAATCTACCGGACCCTTCGGTGCCTTCAGACGAGGATCACAATTTTCCCCATAACATCACGTGCCGTTCAAGCCGTATCCATGGGACCGCGACGAGATAAGAACCTGCAGCGAGCGAGCCTCGGCATTCGACGTATTGAATGGGCCTGTCGATCGCCAACAGGGGGTCGGAGAAAAATATCCTCCTCGCTGGACCAACGAAATTTATCAGGTTCGTCGCGAGGCTTGATTTAATTTCCCCGCGCGGTCGTCGGCAAGTTGGAACGATTGTTACGATTCAGTATACTACGCGCTTTGTACCTCTGTTTTATTCTCTTTTACTCTACGCGATGAAACTCGCGCGGTAGATAAGATAGAAAAATAAGGGTTCTCGAGATAACAGAGTCGCGAAATACGTACGTGGAATTGAGTTCTTCGTGGCTTTCGCTTTTTCTCATTCTGCAGTTATCGTCGATTACGGGATAAAGGTGTATTAGAGAAATTAGAATTGTCATAGGAACGATATGAAATATTCGGTTAAAGTCATTCCCGTTCTATGTGTACTTCGAAGATAAGAGTCATCTGTGATATTATAAAATTATCTAAAGATTAAATATAATACTAGTTACCTTAAGAATTTCTTACTGTTTAATGTTTAACGAATTCTATGTTATAATTAATAACGATATGTAAACTAATTATAAGACTGTATTTGTATATTCGTACAACGTATGATTACAAAATATTCCATTGTATTTGAACAGATTAAATTAGCGCGCGCAAATGTCGCGTGCCAGCTCGTGTCACCTCCCCACCACTTTACTAAACGTATCTGCGACATGGGGTGGCATTGTTCTATCGAAAATCGTCGTGTTTGGATGTGTAACCTTGCTCGATGCGCTTCGCTGTGCCTATTACCGTGTGTCACGTACTTCCATTGCTCTTTCGTAAGTATTTATACGCTATTATTAGCATTGATTCGTTAGTACACGTTTATTTAATCGTTTATTAAGCATAGTTAATCGAGTTTATTAAATATAATAAAGTTAAACAGTTCTTGGAGGTTAGTTTACAATTCTTCCGTAGGTTGTACTGTATATCGCTCGATTATCGATAGCTTTTGTTGGCAACTTTTAATACAGGATTTATGTCATTTTAACATCATTGATTTTAATCAATTTCGATCGTTAATCTTCCGTGCAGATTGTTGGCTGACGCGTGGATAACATCGAAAGAATAACAATACCGTATGATGTCACGGGCGATTGACAACCGATACGACGTTCTGCTATTTCGTAAGTATTTGTATACTCATATCAGTTTCCTTTAATTATTATCCGTTTGCTTAATCATTTATACGTAATTATAGTAGAATTAAGTAGCTTTTCGAAGCTACATTAGTCTGTTTTTATTCGTCGCATCGAATTAAACTTGCACGCGCAAATGTACAGGAAAATATTTTGAGCAAGCTTGTACCACCTGCTGCCAACCGAGTTGCATGGTATACCTATGCCATGTGGAATGTTATTGTACTGTCGAAAGTTGTGGTATTAGGACGTAACCTCGGACGCTTAAAGCACGTCGTTAAGCTATTAACTGCGTATCGTTGCGAGTTTGTAAGCATTTACATGTATCCCTCTACCGACTTCATTTCATTACTGCGCGTTTATTTAACCTTTGCGATAAAGATAAACACATTTTCGAAATAGTCTCGCTCGTCCCTTCCTTTGATCGTATATTTGACTGTCTGTGCGTTATCGATAGCTTATATTACGAACTTTTAACACAAATCTTCGATTTGTTTCTAGTTACGTTCTCTTTTTTATTCATAAAGATATTATCTTTAGGGAGGTAGAGCACGATAAAAGGTAATGTTTCTTCTAAATTAAACAATCTTTTCTACCAAATACTCTGTAATAACTACTTTATTTATATATTTCTATATAAATAATATAAAATATATATGAAAATATTTTATTATTATTATACAAGCTATTATACAAATTGTTCAACATTTCAGAGAAAATTGCGAGTGTTCCAATACTTTTACCCGACGATATACCTGGTCTGTGGTTATGTCATACAACAATGGTTTCTACTCCGCAAGTGTAACGTCCGGTTTCGTTTTCACGCTTCTTACGTTACGTCGAAACGCGATACCCAGCGACGTCGCCGGGTTCAGTCCGCGACATTCACGCTCAGGTATGCATATACACCTGGGAAACACGAGAATCCACGACTTGTCTCTCGAAACGAAACGATCGCGAGCCAATGATGAATCGTATAGACTCTCGCTCTCGATCGTCGAAAGTTTCGACTCCGTTTCAACTTCGTTACAAGCTTCCCTCACGTTCGTGGAATCTCCTGTTTAATTTCTTCTACTCGGCGTCCGTGAGCTCTCCAAGTTTATATTAAATGCCGGAAATTGTATTTAGGAGTTGTAATCTTCTAGGAGTAATGATAACTTGTGCAGAATATTAAGAAGCAGGGGTTGAAAGCTCCAAAGAGTTTATGTACAACGTTCGTGAAGAGTAATCAATGATGAATCTAAAGTCAGTTGTTCCTAGAATGCAACGTAATTTCGTATTTGACGGTAAGTTAGTTCTCTAGTTGTCAGATTTAACTGCATTTAACTGCATTTAACTGTACAAGTTCAGTCATTTTTCGCAAGACTAGCTTCGATCTCGAAACGTGTATAGTAAACGTCTCGAAGGGAAATGAGATAAATAGAGGAATCGATCTCTAGGAAGATATTGAGAAATATCGTGTCGTAACACGGAGATTATCAGTGGTGTTAATCGAGCCCCATGGTACGAAACTGTAATTCTTTAATTAGATTAAAATCTTTGTCAAACAAGAAGCCTTTTAATCGAGTTAAATCTGTTTGAGAATCAAACTGGCGGATATTTTTACGAATTAAAAATTTCTATCTCTCGGACGTTTCGCTACGTGTATTGTAAAATTCTACCTCGTACGTATCAACTTGAAATTTTAATTACTTCGTTTAATTCAAATATGCCTATCACCCTTTCAAAAAGATAATTTTCCAAGATCCTGTTTTTCATCCATTTGCTCATATTATCCAATTGTTCGTTGTCCATTTCCAACCCTATATGTTTAACTTATACAAAGCAAAGAACGATACTTCGGAGAACATCGTAAAAATAAATTGAATAATTCTTAGATTTTGTTCATAGTGAATCCATATTCGGTTCTCCATCGAAGAAAATTGCGAAACGATTCGCAAGTGCTCGCGGCCCGCTGCTAAATACGGCGCCAACGACCGTAGTGCTTTTCGTCGTTCGCCAATATTCCTAGATACTTCTATATACGAGGTGGTTAAATGGTAGCAGCAGAGCGGATCTTTCGTCGTTGCGGTGCACCGCAATTTTCGACCTCTAATTTTATGGTTTTTCGTGGCGGACCCAACGGAGAGGAGGTCTGCCCTCTCAACCAGAAATCCCGCACGGTGAAATACCTTTCGCATACGTTTACGTACGTGCAATTATCCTGTCGGTTACGCCGGTACACACCGATTATTTTCTTGGCGCGTCGCGTGACGAGCATCGTCCTTTTTTCTTACCCTTTCAACCATTCGACGATGGACGAGAATCTTCTCGATGGAGCTACCGTGCCAAAGTATTGTGTTTCAATGTTTATTTTTTCCTTTTCTTTCTTTTTTCGTTGGTTGGTTGTTTTTCTGACAAGTTAACACTCGCGCGTGTTCAGCTTCGCAGACGCTGTGAAATTGAACACACGCAAGCGCCAATTTGTAGAAAAGATCGACGGTATTCGCTTGATCGCGATTTCTCCGGGTTTGTCTAATGAAAATTTTAGGTCGATCGACCCCTCGGGGGAAGGATAACGGAAAATTGAAAGATCAGCGTCATAGCCAGCCGCATGAACATTTTTCATGGCTTGTTCACGGCTTGTTCGACGAGAATGTTCGTTGCACGATTTTTCAAAAATAGTTATCGCTAAATTTAATAAAAAAAGCCAGAAACTTTTTCATTGATTTCTAATATAGCATATGGCTGTCCGCGCTTGCCCATCCAATCTTGTTCGGCTTCAAAATCAATAAAAATGTTCACCAGGCGCAGATGTACAATTTTTTGGAATTTTCATTCGGTGATGACTTTTTCTTTTGAAAACTCGACGAACGAAAATTGCTGTCGGACAAATGTGCACATATCGTGGACAATCATATCACGTTTACGAATCAATGAAAAGTGTTCATGCGGGTGCTGATGATAAATATTGTCATTTGACGATAACTTTTTTTTTTTTAGAGGCGGAGAAATGACAATTTTGTTTGGACAAATGTGGACGATTCGCGGACAAACGAGTACTGATTATTTTTTTTGCGTGTAAATTTGCACTTGGAAACGCCAGTTTCACGAACCGACTGGTGCAACTATTATTAGGTCTTTGCTTCCATTCGATACTGCAATAGTTGCTACTTATTCGAGGATATATTTCGCATTCTTACTCTCTGAATCTTGGTAGTGATTCAAATAGTAATTGCCAATTAAGCTGGATGAAACAAGATTTCTAACGAAAATTATCCTCGATGACATTTTAATTACGTTACGATATCAAAACACGCAGGAGGAATTTGGTAGCGTTGGCAAGTTATTTTGTTCACCATATATACAATTTCGTCATTTTATATACCATAAATTTTCATACAATCAATACTTGCGTTAATTTAAAAATATCCAACTCGTTACTTTCGCTCGTAGTTATTTTTCCATTCGACTATCCTTCGCTGATTATGGCCAAGTTTGTTAATAAATAGAATAATCCATTATTTTCTTTTACGATGAGCAAGATCACTGGCGAGAAGTGGATCACAATGTGCAATAGGACGACATCGCGTTGCAAAATAGCTTGTTGTAAACGGTCACCGTGGAAACATCGACGGTCAAGGATTTTCCACGTCTTTTCCCCAAAGGCGTTGCTCTATCGATTATCGGCAACGTGTTTTCTCCTCGTCACACGCGTCTTTGCTTCGAGAATGTTTCACGTTTTCGTATCCGTAGCAGCTGGAAATAAATTTCCATTTTTAGTGCAAACACTGCGCCGCGACTTTGACCTTGCAGCTACTCCACATTTCTATCTTCGTCCATATGACGTAAGTTTATCAACTTTCATAGTCGTTCGATATTTCCAGGTTTAATCGATGAAAATTCATTCGAATTGATAGAGAGCGGTGTGCAGACGTTTTTAGCCGGACACATCTTTCAGCTTGCGTTCCAACATCGAGGGAAAAATCTATCCTAAATTTTTGCACGTCGCTGTACCTATACGTACGCCGATGAAATAGTTCGTACGATAGAAAGGGTATGGGTGATGTATGCAAATTAATTGCGTCGTGTATTATACCGTAAGCTTAATCTTTTAAGCTTCTTTGCGCGCTATGTGCGCTTCTCGCATGTGCATGTTAATTGAAAATCCATGTGAAGCAGCAGTTTTCGCCTGATTTAACGAGCTGAGATCGTTTTCGAGACAAATATTCGCTGACTTTCACGATTTGTTTGCCGTGTTTAATTGCGCTCGCGCGTGATCCACGTACCATTTTCAGTGCAAACCCGGACCTCCGCGTTCAACACACCGATTTCCACGTAATTTTATCGGAGAGTAACTCGCCGATAATTTTTAGTACGCGAGTATGATCGATTTGCAGGAACAATACAGGAATAGCATAGAACCTCTTTCGTGCTGTACACGCAACGATCGTAACACGAGTTACTCATTAATCGTATTACTTTATTAATTATTTATTAATTATCTGATCGTCCTATACGTTCCGATGCGTCATGTTTCTTCTGCAAGACACCCGACCGATACAAAAATTTTTGTCGCAGTTCAAAACGGAGTTTCATTGCAGTAGAGTGGAAAGAAAAATCGTCGATTTAGGGGAAAAGTGGCGCACTTGGAAACTCGTCGATTTTAAGCTACATCTTGGAAACCTGATTCTAAGAACACTTATCTTTTTAAAACTAAATTATTGTTATCGTTTCTTTAACAAAGTTACGCGGATCACCTGTGATTCGTAAAATTTACAAAATTTGTAAAATTTCAGTTCAGTGATATCGGTTGGATCGTGAACGAGTTTCCAGAGTGCTGTGTCGGGACGAGAGAAACGCCTGGGTCCGAAACATACTTTTTAACCCCGAAAAAACGGTGAAAGGTATCGAATCCGTTCGAATAGCAATAAATATTTGGGAGATCGCAACGCCGGAAGTGAATCGTATAAAATACGTATTGATTAGAAAGAGGCGGCCAGAGAGGTGGGGCCATTTGTCCATTTAATGGCGAAGATCTTGACAAAAGGTCTACAAATCCCTCGTGGAACGAGCGGCGCATCGCGGGATAAAGGAAAGTAATGGAAAGCGGACAGTAAATCTAGAGCAAAGCAGCAGCGGCAACTTCCTGGAAAATTTCAAGTATTTATAGTTCTGCACGTAGGCAGCACCGAGTGCCAAGCTTTGGTAAACAGTAACCTGTTTCGTTTATGTCGGATGAAAAGGCGGTGAGTGTATCTTTTACGGTGTTTCAAGGTCTCCGTCGCTCGTGCGTCTATCGAAACGTTATTATTATCATTCGTTTTATTTAACCAGTTAGTTAACCGTAGAATTTAGTTTTAGAAATGTCTCGTGAGATTAGGTGATGGCGTGCGTAAATGAATAAAACGACGACGAATATAATTGATGATTAATTAATCCGTCAGATATATTAATTTTAATCAACTAGAAATTCTCCTGCATAAAGGTAATAAGTTTTTAGCGATGAATCGATCAAAGTTCGGATGCGTCAATTTTCTATATTACACGCTGTGCAATTATTTTACTTTACGTTCATCTACCGATGATATCACTTACGAAGGTACTTTCTTTTTTCAACAGTTGACAGAGCAGCGTAGTTCTACGTTGAAGTTAGTGTTGGAGTGAACTATTACGTTTTATGTACGCCCTATAGGTATCTTTAAGAGCGATGTTACACGACGTGCTTCTGTTGTCCTACTTTACAATAGTTACGGCACTTTTTCACGACACCTCGGGAAAGCTTCGTACAACGTACGATCTACCTACTGTATATTCTTTTATGTATTTTATATGTAGTAAGTATGTTTTTACTAGCAAACGATAACGCTTTCTTACGTCTACCATATACGTACTCGCATACATATACGTTGCTCGATGGCATTTCGTTAAATTAGGTACAATAATATAGGATTTTTTTTAATTTATTTAGAAATATTAGAAATTAGGGTTTCCAGTGATTTCTATCCTATATGATAAGTTTATTGATCGACAGATCTATTTACAATGGATTAAACAGGAAACGATGGTTATTTAACGTGAACTAAATACAGTAACTAAGACAACTAGATAATTTACAGCTCACAACTGATAGTTTACAACTCGTAACAACTCGGCGACTCAACTCTCGACTACTCACAACTCGACTCCTCGCCATTCGACTGTCAACTCCCAACTACTGAACTCGACTCCTCTCATTCCTCTTAACTCACGACTATCCCACTCGACTCTTCATGTGACGACCACACGGTAAAAACTGTCAGGCCCTTTTGACCTAACGGCGCTTAGGCCTCCTCGCAATATTGTTTATAGTTAACCCGATATTTTTTTAGGCCATTTGTCCACGATACTACAATAACGTATGCCATTATACAACAAGTTGGTATTGTATCTTAAATTGCCCACTCAACTTCTACTATGTAACCATAGCAAGGTAACACGAAATTACTACAGTACCAAAGAAAGATTTGGAAGATTCTGCTGCTAAAATCCATCGCGTCTATCCATGAACGATATTCATAAAAGCGTAATTAGCTCGCTTGTCCCGTTTAGTAAAAGAGGAGAACGCAAGACAATATCAAAGAAGGTTCCAAAAAAGGAAAACAGTTTGTCAGCTTTGCGTGTTTCACTTTGCAGGTATACAGCCCTTATTCAGCCGTAAACCCTCACCTGGTTAACCTGATATTCAAGAGATCAATCACGGCACGTGACGTTGATATTTCTGCGCGTTTCACTTCCTCCTCCTCCTGCTCGCTTCGTTTTCCAAGGGAATTTATAACGATCGGTCGCGAAAGAGAAAAGAAATGGTAGGATGTTCGCGACGAAGACGTTGAATCGGCGAAATACGAAGAAAGGCGCCGTAATTATTTCGCATTCGTATCGAAGCGGGAATTGAAACGAGAAGACGC